CCAATTTAATAAATAATAAATATAACTATAGCATAAATACAAAATATATCAAACATATTTTCAAAAAAATTATAATCATGTTTAATTACATTTTACAAAGTTCAATTATTCTAAAAACATTCCATTATATACATATTTAAAAATTTAATCATCATAGAACTAATTCAAAAATAATTTTCAAAAAGTTTGCTTAAAGTTGTTTTTCACATTAAAAAAAAAATAAATTACATTTTTATGCAGAAAATATGTTCTTTCTTGTCACAATACTTGAAATAAGTAAAAAAAAAAATAATTTTCTTAATTTACATGCTAAATGGATTACAGATCGATTTAATAACTGTTGTATGTATAAAACTCAGATGGTATTTTTTTGGAATTTTTCATCCCACTCTACTTTACTATTTTCTTTTAGAAATGGAAATTTAAAAAAAAGTCTTAAGTCCGAATCTCTTATAAATTTAATGACTCACAATAATTAAAGACAACCTAGTAACATAATTTTTATTTTATATAACAAAAATATTTCCATTGTGAATCTTTCAGATTACTTTTATCATTTCCATTTTCCATGTTATTCAATTTTAGCTATGAACCGTTTCTAAAGTAACTTCTTTTAAAATTTATTTAAAAAAAGAAAAGATTTTTTTCTTAAATCTAGAGTTTATAGTTAAATTTAAAAAAATTCTAATCATTAAAAATCCTTTAAGTAAATATGGAAATAAAATTTTTTTTTTTAAATAATTCAGTTTTTTTAATTGAACTTTTTTTTAAAAAATAATTCTGCAGAGTTATAGTCGAAAAGTATAACAGAAATTTGGATTTTCAAGGATTTCAATTTGAAATTTTTGCAAAGTCTAATTTTTTTTAAGATCCACGCTTTAATACTTGTAATGTGCAATTATTATTTTCAATTGTAACTAAAATTAACTCTTGAATTGATTTTATTAGAAGCTTCTACCGCAGTACTATTCATAAATACAAAAATAAATATTTGAAATTAAATATAGAGAAAATGCTTAAAATTAGGTGTACGAACTTGGTTACGCGACACCAGATCGGGTTACACTTCAGGTGACCAGGTCAGTAGGATATAAACATTGAAAGAAATGCCTGAATAGACAATTAAAATGTCTCATTCACTTTTATGTAATTTAAATGAAAAATATATATTTCTTATTATTTCTCGTTCTCTAAAAATTATAGCTGATAAATTTAAAATAATATTTTAACAAAATAAATAATCAAAATATGCACAATGTCTAAGAAACAAAATTATAACACATAAAACAATAAAAGCAATCTCAGCATTTTATTATACTTCGAAAATTAGGATACAAAACTTTTATCCAAACATTCAATTGAGTCAAATAGATAATTGAAAATTGGCACGACATTTGAATTAAAATTTCGAAACCTCAAATTCTATTTAAAATTTTAAAATAAAAAAAGAAATGTTTAAATATTACAACATTATTAAATACTTAAATTTGTAACAAAATAATTTTTCATAAAAAAAGTAAAAAGTCCTTAATTTAAATTTATCATAAGCAAATTCTTTTCATAAAATGTATCAAGTACACTATAGGAAAAATTAAAAAAAAGCAAATTATTTTTATTTACAATAAAGTTCTCCTAAAAAAGGAAAGTTAAAGATAAAACCGTTTAACAAAGCGTAATTAAAATTTGCCTCTATTTAAGAAGTTTTTCTATTAGTAAACCTATAAAGCTGTCAAGGGACGACAGCACATAAAAAGGGGGGTATAGGGGTAGAAAATCAGAAATTTTCAATTTTTTATGCACCATGTATGCATAAATTTTATTAATTATTGCTTGTCAATTTTTTTAAATAATTTTCTGCAAAACTTATATTAAAGAAACAATGTCAGCCAATAAAAATTAACATTATTTCTTTAAAATTTTGCAATATTCTGAACCGACACAAATCATCGAAGCATGTTTAGATTTTCGTTTTTTATAAACTTATTTAAAATTTCATCAATGTAAGTTTAATTAATAAAACATATTTTTTTGTTTAAAAAATTTTTTTTTAATATAAAATTTAATATAAATTTAAAATCTATCATTGTTATTATACCAAATCAAAAATTAGTGACATATAGGTTATTTTGTAAAAGTAATTTCATGTAGATGTACCAAATTTCAGATTATTTAATATAAAAAAAAAGTAATTCTTTAAGACAAATAAAAAGCATGAAATAACTTAACTTTGTTTTCATTTAAAAAATATAGAAAGAATAAATCATACAACAAATAAAACTTTGTAATCTACGCAACAAATTTCCTTAAAAAAAAAAAGCAAAAAATATCTTCAGAAGATGAACAATTCTTTATAAACAAAAAAGACGAATTAAAAATTGTATTAAAATTTAAACAAAATGTTACAATAAATTCAATTTTTGACATTGTGAAATCATTTCATTATAAAATATATATTCTATGTATTATACGTTTAAAATACGAAATAATTGTAGCATGAATAATAATTTATAATAATTTTTTTTAATATTTAAAAAAAATCAGACATCACCAATTAAATTATTTAAATTTTTTTGTAGAAAGAAACATCATTGTACACCGAAACAAGACAAATAAAATCTAGCCTGGTAAAAATGCAATAATATATCAGTAAGTAAAGTAAGTTTTAGGTTTTTAGTAACTCAATTTAAAAAAAAAGCAAGTTTAAAATCACATATTCAAGCGCATTTTTTTCCATGCTCGATCTTAATGATTTAAAATACAAAGTTACTTGTCATTAAACAACGAAAAAATTTCCGACTATTATTATTATTATTATGAATAAAACAAAAGCAAACTTCATTTATTTAAAAATCTTCCTAAAACAAAAAAGAGAGGAAACGAATTTTTGAGATAAAATTACAACTAAAAGTTTGCCTCTGTTTAAAAACCATTATTTTCAGCTAAACCAACAACTTAAATATTGTAAAACCATTGAAAGGAGGATTATATGTAAATCTCACAAAATTATATGTTCAATATAAAGCTGCCAAGGGACGTCAGCCAGAAAAAGGGGGGTATTTGTTACGTATGAAATCGTAACGATTTTTAATTTTTTTATTAATTAAAAATTATTTATATTATATAGCTTCATAAAAATTGGGAATCTTGTAATTAGGTTAAGCACACATAATCACAAACCTTAAAGGACAGACAAAACAACTCAGCATTGATACAAGATTATTAATTTTAATTCTATAAAATTAGTAACCCTTATTAAATTTCTTTGGTTTCATTAGTATTTGGATATTGAAATTATATAGAATTATTACAAAAGTCACGGACAACACCCATATTTCGAAATAAAATTTATTAATTTTGAAAGAGTCATTTTCCAATGAAAGACTCTAAATGTATTGGTTTAAATACAAAGAAAAGTAAAATACATATTAAAGGTATAGTGGATTTAGATCATTGAACAAGTGTTGGCCAACTTATGGAATTTGCAAGCTTGTGAAAAGCTTGCCTGGCAACAAATAAGTTCAATGAGCTGTGTGCAACAGCCTCCCCACTATTAGCGTTGTTATGAAATTTCAAGGTGTGATCCGTGATTTCGATCGATTTAACGATTGAGTTTGACTTGGTTCCTCCCGCAACAAAGTTGTGTATATTTACTTTGTTGTTCGCGGGAATTGAGAGTTTTTTTTTGATTATATAAAATAATATATATATATTTTGTGAAGTTTCTTGAGATATTTCCATTTTTTTTAACTGATATTTCGAGTTTGTTTTATGCATTATTTGATAAAATTCAATTTGTATTAAAGGTGATTAATTAAAGAGATACGCGGAATTAAAATAGAAGTAAAAGAGATCAATTGAATAAAATTTAAGTACGGTGACCCCGATTCTTAAATATTTGTTCAATCATACAAAATCAGTGAATATAGAAAAAGGAATTTATTTTTCATTGTGGAATTTTCAAATAATATAAATATATAAAAAGTGATATCTAAATAAGAAGGCGACCAAGGAAATAAATTGGAATATTGAAATATTAATCACAAACAGGTGTATACTAAACGTTTCACCAGAGGAAGTAAACGGATACTTTTCTGAAATAAGTTAAACGTAATAAAATTGTTCTGGTGAGTTGAATTAATACTGTCCAACATACTACACACTCTATACAACTACACAGTCATCTTGATTTGCTTGATATTGCGCATAAAAAATAGATTATCATTATTAATTTGTAATTAATAATAAACATATACAATCGGGAATGTCAGTCTGTTTAAGATAATATACAATATTTTTATAATAAACCATATATTATTTTAACTGTATGGAAAGCTGTTTTATTGCAATCTTACACCTGTTACAATATACCTTTTTATTTACATTCGTATAAATACCGTCTAACCGGAGCCATTGAATAATAGTGGACTTAAGAAAAGGATCCACTACCTCGAAATATTTTTATTCCGAAGGGCAATACGTTTACTTTGAGATATTTGATTATTGATTTGTTTTGCTCTTTGATTTGAAGAAAGTAATCTTTCAATATATCAAAAGCGGAATTTGTTTGAAATAAGATTTATTAAATTATTAAATAAATAATTAAATTCATATCTAACAAATTCTATTGAAAAATTGTTTTTTTGGAAAAAATGTTAAAGTAGTAGATATTGAAAATATAATTTAATTGAGTAAAATTTTTGGAAAATAATTTAATCGTTTGAAGGAATTTTATTAAAATTTTTCAGAATAATTTTTTTATTTCAACTATTAGCGAATTTAAAGTAGTGCAAATTTTCAAAGGCAAAAAGAAAAAAGTATCTTTTAGTGGAATTGATCCAAAAAAAGTATCCATAAAAAAAGTAGTAAATAGTAAGTTTTAGTAGATAAGTACAAAGTCTAAAAATTGTTTAATATTTTTTGTTTTGAAGATAAGGAAAAGTTTCTTGACGCTTAACGTCGACGCTAAATAATTTAATATTCGAACTGAAAAATAGACTTACCGCCATGTCCTCGCTTCTGTAGGCAGTGAGAGTTTGTTCGTCCTGCAGGAGAACGCAATAGCAGGGTTCCCAGCATGCTTCGGCTGATGCATCACCAACACAACAATCTGCCTCTGTAAAAAGAAAATTTTTCCTCTTATTCACTTTTTTTTCATCAGAAGATGGGTAAATTTTACTGTAATTTTCGAAAATGAAATTAAAGAGCTTAAAACGTTTAATTGTACTGGACTAAAGCTGATTAGTTAATTGCGAAATTCCCAGTGGACGAGATTCGGAAAGAAAATTACCATAAGTTAAACTCGTAGCGTAGGATTCGTTACAACTGTTCACTATACCGTTTTAGGGGGATTCGAATGCAAATCACGTTCTCGTAGTAATACGTGCCTATTTGTTTTTTAGAATTCTTTTTTTCAAATACCATCGTAAGAAGTTTTTAAAATTCTAAAATGTAACCAGAAAGCAAAAAAAAAAAAATTGACAATCATCATTGTTAACCAACCAATAACTGGATGTGAATAAAAAATAAAATTTCCACCCGAAATAAATATATAAATTTACATGTAAATAAAAAAATAGTTTGGAATTCATAATAAGTACCTGCTATTAAAAACAATCGGGACTAATTGAAAATGAGAATAATCTGAGGCAAAACAATAAAAAAAAAAATTCCTCTCGATTGTGATTTTAAAGCGAGTCAATTAAAAGAAGTGGAAATACAAAGATGTAGATATCCAAGAAACTCTTCGAATTTACTGAAATGCTCCCACGCGTTGATTTATATCTCCTTTTCCTTATTTTGCGCGTCTATTATATTTCTCCATACTGCATCTTCGTCATGAATCAGGGAACCTTGATTGCCGGTCATTCCTCATCGTGTTTTTATACTGCCGAGAGAGAGAAAGATAGGCAAACGAAGAAGAAAATAAATGCAAAAAGAGAAAAAAAAAAAGTAACCAATACCCCTATACATATACATATATGAAGGGAAAAGACAATTGCAAGCATTGAAAAACGAGTATGGTAAACAATGCACAATGCACATTGACACGATACCACGTTCGAGTCGTCGATTACGGTTGACTATTGAAAATCGAACGCAAAGCTTTTATTTTTTTTTGAAATTGATTTCTCAAGGGGTATCAGTTTTGTGCAAAAGATTTCTAAATGGTTGTGTTTTTTGTATTTTCTGAAATAATCTAGATGTTCGGTTTGAATAATAGGGGAATGACTGGTGCTTTAATATCTTGTAGTCAAATGATACTTAAAAATTAATTTATGCATCATTGGATGTATTAATTTAATTGAAGCATCGATTGATTCATTAATTTAATTGAAGCATCAATTGATGTATTAATTTAATTAAAGCATCAATTAATGCATTAATTTGATTCAAGCATTAATATAATTCAATGCTGGAACATCTTAATTAAATGCTACATCTTCAATAAATGGGTCAAAATTTTAATAAAATGATACAAGTGCAAAATTAATTGATGCAACATTTTAATTAACTGTTAAAGCAACTTTATTATAGAATAAAAAATGACTAATGGAACATCTTTATTAAATGCTACAACATTAAAATTACCTGATGCAAAACCTTAATTAAATGTTGTAACAACTTCATCGAATGCTGCACCATTTCAATCAAATGCTGTACAATTTTAATCAAATACTGCAACTACAAAATTAATTGATACAACATCAAAATTAACAGATGTAGCATCTGAAGTAGCTACAGCATCAAAATAAACTGTTGCTATATCTTAATTAAGTGATACAACTTAAAAATTAACTGATACAACATTAAAATTAACTGATGTAGCATTGTAACTAAATGCTACAGCATGAAAATTAACTGCATCTTAATTAAACAATGCAGCTTTAAAATTAACTGATACCACATCTTAATTAAATGATACAGCATCTTAATTAAATGCTACAACATTTTAAACAAATGCTACAATACTTAAGAAAATGCTGCACAATTTTAATCAAATACTGCAACTGCAAAATTAATTGATACAACATCAAAATTAACAGATGTAGCATTTGAAGTAAATGCTACAGCATCATAATAATATGTTGCAACATCTTTATCAAAGGGTACAACACCAAAAGTACTTTATGCAGCATCATAATTAAATTATTCAAGATCAAAATTAAGTAATTAACTGATGCAGTATCTTAATCATGTCGATTAATATTTGAATCAAATAGTACAAAATTAATTCCTAAATATATTTATTTAGATAAACAGTAATATAGTAAACAGTAATTTACTAAGTATACAGTACAGTACTATACAGTATAGTAGTAATAAATATTGTTCGAAGGAAGAAATGCTACAATATTTCAATCAAGTGGAGCACTTAAATAAAGCAGCATCTGAATAAGTATCACGAAAATAAAAAGTTTTATTAGCTTTAATAGAAGGAAGCCAAATATAATATCACATAATCCATGGAATTCGTGTGTTAATAGCTTTTGCAATCTCAAATAATGATAAATAACGCTCCCACGCGTGTGTATTTACAAGGTGAGTATGATCTACGGAGAAAGCATTACGAAGGTTAAGGTTACGAGGACACCTTTTCTGAGAATATCTAATAGTCTCTCGTGAGGTTACACGAGATTGTCGAGGTCGAGGCTCCTCTATAGAAAGGTGATCGCTCTCCAAGATGTGTGCTACGCAAAACAAGACCATCAAATTTTATATCTGGAGAAAATCCACAATAATAACTTTAATCATTCTTCTATTTCCATATGCAACATATTCCACTAAAATATTATGAATTCAAGCAAAATAGTGAATTTAAATTCATTTCAATGATAATAATAACCAATAGTAAATAAATAATAATGACGAAAAGTAATAAATTTATGGGAAAAATAATAAAATTCAAGTAAAATAATAAAATCGAGTGAGGAAAAACATGACAGTAAATTATAAAAATTAGGTTAAACAAGTAAATTATTAGCAATCGTTTTTACATTATCCACAAGGAATATTCCATTTTTCATACCTACAATTCTACTGAATTCTACCAAACATAAATTTTTCTACGACTCTAAATCTTGAGAGTAAAGAATGGGTTTAATCTCTATGATAAATGTTTCCTTCACGAAGGGTAGAAAGAAAATCGATACGCGTGTTTGTGAAACCAATGTTCAAAATAGGGGAATAAAACCCGTAAACAATAAAAATAGAATAAAAATAAAAGAACCGTATTTGACAATTTTTTCTTTTTATCTCTCGTTTCGCTTTTTAACAAGAAAGAATATTAGAATCCACGAACCACAAGCGCATTAACAATAAAGTTCACTTCTCCTTTCCTTTGTCCTTTGATTGCCCTCCTAATACCTTCCAATTTTATCTGCCATCCTTTATATACCTTATTCTCAATAAAAGTTGTGGAAACTAAGAGAATTATTAATCTCCTACTTTTCTGAATAAAGCGAAAAGGAAACATTAATTTTTCGAAAGAAATTACAAATTAAAATGGCAAAGAAAAATAAAAATAGAGGGGAATAAAATAAGTAAATAAATCAGTAAATAAATCAGTAAAAAATAAGTAAAGAAATAAGTAAAGAAAAATAAATAAAGAGAAATAAAAGTCAATTGAAAGAAAACGTTGAGTTTATTATTTTCAGGGTAAGTTACCTAAGGAGAAGAATATTTACCTCCAATGAGAATTTTTCTACAATGCATGGTAAATAATTTTTCCCCTTCATTCTTAAAAATGTCCTTTCCTCCTCGAGAAAAGGGGGATCATTTCTTTAAGGTAGAAGAATAAAACGAATCTTTCCATTGTCGGCGAAGTGCACTTGCCACTGAATATTTATGTTAAAATTGTTGTCGTGCAAGTGAATTTTTTTAAATTTCTTATTACTTTGCAATAAAGGGTAGAGAAGATGGGACGGTATTGGAATACTTGGAAAACTATTCTCTCTATAAATATATTCACTTTGAAGGTACTTCCATACTTTTCAACATTCCCTGACTACCATATTCTGTGTACACACTTCTTCAAGTTCTATGTCACCACCTCGAGAGACTCATATACTTTCACCTTGGGGTATAATAAATTTCAATTTACAAACTACCAGGTACTTGCGCGCACTCACCTCAAAAAGAAATCTTCCCGCGTACCACTATTTATTACCCCAAAAAAAAGATGGCACTACAAAAATCAAAAAGCGAAAAAAATCTTTCGAACATTTCAAACATTTCTTTTTGGATTTTAGATTGATGAATCTAAAATACAAAAAGAAATGTTTGTACTACAGACTTTAAGATTGTCCAAAAACAAATTCTCCATTTGCATTAATCTAAAATCCAAAAAGAAATACAAGAAATAAATTCTTAAAAATGAAGTTGTGAAAGATAACGAAACGGTCCTCTAAAGAATCTTCTTTTGTTGTAGAAAGAAATCTTGGCACTTGTTTCTTCCCCTTGAGGTAATTGTCCTGTCCACGTGTGGTCGCATTTACGTGATGTGACGAAGTATAAAAAGAATAAGGAGAATTATAAAGAAGAAGAAGAAGCTTTTGTGAAAAATGGGAGAGAGAGAAAAAAAGATATGGTAACTGTGTGATATGTGTTTGGTAGAAGAAGAAGAAGAGAAGGAAGCGGCAAGTTTCTGAAGGATGACAGGTGAGAGGTCTTCCAGGTGAGGATGCTCCAAGAGTTGTCTTAAGCTCCAATCTCCACAAGTGACTCCAAAGCTCGAGCCAAGTCCTCATTAGACACAAGCCGAAGCCGGCCAGTTCATTACCGGTGATCTTATCATGGACTCATTCTTTGCCAAACCCTTTCAACATTCTCGTTCCGCGTGCAGCCCTCTGCCTTTTCAGCAACACAGTCGAGACCAGCCAGGGAATTACATATTCAGACAAATTTGTCACCTTTTGTGTGTATCTGCATCGGTATCTGTACTGATTCGTCATTTTTGTTTTTTGGTTCTTTTTTGTATCGGAGTCTGGTTCTTTATTTTTATTTGCATCATAAATGCAACAATTGTAGGCATTCATCTTTTTGGGCATTTGTATTTCTAGTTGTACCATGTTGTTGTCAAATTAATTCAGCTTTTCCAGAATTGGCCTGATAAAT